CTTGTCTTCAGAGAGTTTCAACATGCAGCCCAGTGGAGCCGATAGTTCCGGTATCCCTTTCGACCCAGTTTGCAGGTGGACAGACTACCTGAAGAAGCGCAACCGGACCCACCCCTCTTACCAAGTTCTCTTGTTCCTCCTCCTCGTCCTCTTCGTCTTCCTCCTCGTTCTCCTCCTCATCCTCTTCCTCCTCCTCATCCTCTTCCTCCTCCTCCTCCTCCTCCTCCTCCTCCTCCTCCTCCTCCTCCCCCTTTTCCTCCTCCTCCTCCTGCTCCTCCTCCTCCTCTTCCTCCTCCTCCTCCCTTTCCTCCTCCTCTTTCCCTCCGCCTCCTCTTCCTCCTCCTCCTGGCGAGGGGGGCGAGGCGGCGCGCACCGCCCAGGAACGCCAGGAGCGCCAGGCGGAGCGGGAACGCCAGGAGGCCGAGCGCCAGCGGCAGGCCGGGCGCCGCCCGCTGCACAGTCCCCCCGCCTCCTCGCTTCGGGGGCAGCCAGGAGGGGAGATCCCCCCCAGGAGGAGGAGGAGGAGGAGGAGGAGGAGGAGGAGGAGGAGGAGGAGGAGGAGGAGGAGGAGGAGGAGGAGGAGGAGGGGGAGGGGGAGGGGGAGGGGGAGGGGGAGCAGGAGGAGGAGGAGGAGGAGGAGCAAGAAGGCTGCGAAGGGTGCGAAGCTGACTCCGCTTCGGCGCGGTGGAACACACGAGGAGGTAGTGGGGAGGTAGACATGGAGTAACCACTAAATGCAGGTGCTGGAGGAAAAGTTGTGAGTGCGACGGGTTTCTGTAGGGAAAGCAGGTGGCTGTTGCCTTCGGCCACGGCCGCTCAGGCCCTCGCCATGTCGGGGCAAGTCCCTCCCCAAGGTCTCGCCACCCCGTCCCTCCGCCACAAGAGGGGGGTGCAGTGAGGCTAGCGAGGTGAAGCGGGGGGAGAGAGGCTGCGAGAAGGAAGCCAGGATGGAGTGAAGGTTGGATTTTGTTGGGCCTTATGTCGGCAGGCACGTCAGATGAAATAGCATATTTCGAGGGTGAAAACGCCACGCAGTGACTCATTGCATAGCATAGCTGACGTGCGCGTAGTCGCCGTGTGCTGTGGCCGGTGGGCATCCAGTTTCCGCTGCCGTCGGAGAGGTGAGTCTGGAGTGCGAATACCGAGCTGTGCTGTTGCCGATGCTGTCGGTGAGTGCGTACGACTAGGCCGAAGGGTAGTGCCGAGGTGCTCCTCCTGCGTCTCCTCCTCCTCGTCCTCCTCCTCCTCCTCGTCATCACTATCATCATCATAACCACCGTAAGTATAATCATCATCAGCACCAGCATCATCACCATCCTCATCATCATCATCATCATCATCATCATCATCATCACCATCATCATCATCATCATCATCATCATCCACATCCCCATCCTCAACCTCATCCTTCTCCTCATCCTCCTCCTTCTCCTTCTCCTCCTCCTTTCTCCTCTCTGGCACCTGTGCCACTGGGGCCCCTTCCCAGGAAAACAGGCGGGTAGCAGCCCGCCCAGTCGTCACCCTTGTTTGCCCGTAGGGGGCCAAGGGGAGAGAAAATTGCTCTCGTCGCCAGCGGCCACCCATGGAGTGGGTGGTGCGTAGGTTGGGCGTCGGAGCACGGACTCCGGCGCCCCCTACCCCGAACAGGGCGCGCGGAGCACGGTCGCCTTGCGTGCCCTGTTTCGCGCACTTAGCACGCCGCGGGGGCATGGCCCTGGACCGTTGGCGCTGCTCGCCTGCTGGCACTCCCCTGTTGGGGAGGTGCTCGGGCTCTTTTCCCTTCAGTCGGGCCCGTGCCCGAGTCGCCGAGCTATGCCCCTGGCGCGTGTGACGCCGCGCTTGTTGAAAACAACTCAAGTTTATCCCTGTCCTAGTCCTCTCTCCTCCTCCTCTCTCGCCTCTCTCCTCCTCTTTTCTTTTCCTCCGCCGCAGATCCCCCCCCCGCGGCGGCGGCGGTGGCGGGCCTCGTCCCCGCGGCGCGCACGGGAGGAGTCGGCGGCGCAATCCGAGCCTTGCCCTGGCCGATCCACGACGCAGGCAGCTCGATGAGTGGCGGGAGCCGGGCCGATTTTTGAAAAGCGCTGGGTTTGTTTATTCGCCCGTGTTCAAGATCGCCGTGTTCTTTCCGTTGGGGGCGCCGTTTCTGCTGCGTTCTCAAGTCTGGGAGCGGCCCGTGGCCGTGACCCACCCTCTCATTTCCCCATTTGTACGTTTTTAAAGTCGCGGCGCCACCTGCTTGACGTTCACACCCCAGGGGGTCGTGTTTAGAACGCGTTGGTCGAATCGACGGCGAGAAGTGGGACGTGGGGGAACAAACGTTCCCGGCGTTTCAAAGTGCAAGTACGGTGCGGGGGTAGGTTTCGGATTCGTCGAACACGTGGCGAAATCCGAACCCCACCCCAGCCTCCCATCGATTCAGGAGAATCGATGCTTGGCGGTGGCAGGGTTCGGATGAGGAGCATCGATGGTTGGCGCGGGTAAGGTTGGGACGTCGCCGCCCGAGGCCCCCCCTTGCCTTGCCGCCGCACAGCGCGCGCGCCCCACAGGCGCGCGAGCGTGCCGACCGCGAGCGCCGCGCCGCGGAGTACGAGAACGAGGCGCGCGCCCCTGCCCGGGGGGGGGGGGGGGGCGGGGCGCGCGCGCGCGCCCGCGCGGGGGCTGCCTCGGGGCGCCGCCGCCGCCGCCGCCTGCGGGGGTGCGCTGCGGCAGCGGAGGGGCGCGGGGCCCCAGAGCCGCGCAGCGACGCACCGCGCGGCGGCCCCGAGACCCCCGAGAGAGCAAAGGTGAGGCACCTTTCCGTGGGCAGTTCCAGGCCTCCCAGATGGGGTCGGAGCGGCTGGGGTCGGAGGGCCGCGTCGCAGCGCGAATCGAGGATGCGGCTCGATGCGGAGCCCGATCTTCCCCGCGCCGACGTCGCCGATGCGTCGCCGATGCGTCGCCAGGTGCAGCGGTGATGCATCGCAGCTCCTCGGACCCTCAGCTGGGAGGCCTCCGGCAGAAGAGCACCTGCTTGGGCCAGCGGGCGCCAGCGAGCCTTGTGAGCAGGTGCGTAGGCGCCGGCCGGGCCACGGTCGGGCCACGGGCATGGGGGAACGCGGGGGGAGCAGAGGTCAAGGGAGGAACAACCACACGGACCCGGCAATTGGCGCCAGCCGTCCGATGCACGGGGCGCCAGCCGTGGTATGCTGCCGCGCATGGTGCGCGTGGCCGCCAGCTGGGGCACTCTCGATGTTCTCCCCTGAGTCCCTTCAAGGGGGTAAAAACCACCGGGACCCGAGCGAGCAGAGGGGGCCAGAGCAGGAGGAACGGCATGTCTAGCATCATATGCGTTTCTCCCACTGAGCTCGGGGAGGGGCCTCGTCCGACAGAGGGCTCTGCGCAGCAGAGGGGGCCTGTCAACGAGGAGGGGCACGTCGTAAGCAAAAACGGCATGTGGGGGGGGCCTTGTCTGACAGAGGGTGCTGCGGAGAAGCGTTTACGAAACGGCCCTGGGCGTTTACTGGGCAGCCCTGCCCTGCTCGATTCCTGCCCTGGGTGCGTTTGCGAAACGGCCTCTCTCTTGTCGGGGTGATTCTTTTGTGGGTGGATTGTCTGCCCTCTGACGGGGGGGTGAGGAGACAGAGCCGCTCAGATCGTGCAGGACCGTCGCGGGCGTGCGGGCGAGGCGCAGGAGGGAAGCGACCAGAAACACGGCACAGCTGCGCCATTTCTCGGAATTCCGCGCGGGTTTCCTTGGCCCCCGGCGTCGCGTTTTTTTTTGTCACCACGTCGACCCCCAGAGGTTGGGACCCTTTCCCCGGGATCGGTTTTTCGTCCCGAGCCATTTTCTGACGGCCCCGAGGCCCAGGAAGGGCCGCCCGGAGGCCGAAAATGGCCACAGATTTCCCGCCGCGTTTCTGGTCGCAGCGCGAGGGGGTCCGGGCTCTTGGATCGGCGGTGGACCCCGCCCCCTTCCCCTCCTTCCTCGCCGCCAGGGGGGCCTCGAGGAAGGAGCTGGGGTGCCGCTGCATGGATCCAAGGGAGGAAAAACCACCCGGACCGGACCATTGGCGTTTGCTAAACGGCCTTGGGCGTTTACTAAACAGCCACTCCCTGTTCGATTCCTTCTCTGGGCGTTTTGCTAAACGACTTCGCGCGTCGGGGTGGTTCTTATGGGGGTGGATGTTTTGACCTCCAATGGACAGAGGTGGGCGTCTGGGTGGCCTTTCGCAAAGAGATAGGTCTGCTCGGCAAGCGACGCCCCAGAAAAGCCGCTGGGCGTAAGACGTGAGAAGAACACAGCCTCGGAGCCGCGCGCCGTGCTGGCACAGGCCGGGCGCCCTCCGCCAGCTTGCCTCCAGAGTTGGAGTGCCTTCAGGAGTCGAGTGAAGTCGGGCATGTCCCCCTACAGGCGGATTTTGGACGAACAAATTGTCAAAACATGCACCCTAATGGTCAAACATTGTCAAAGGATCGTCCCCAGAGTCAGAGTGAGGGGGCCGAACGGTCATTCACTGTCCATGGGTGCGTGGCTGATGTGGAATTCCGCGGTGCGGATTCTTCTTGTTGTTGTTTGTTGTTGTTGTTGTTGTTGTTGTTGTTGGTGTTGGTGTTGGTGTTGGTGTTGGTGTTGTTGTTGTTGTTGTTGTTGTTGTTGTTGTTGTTGTTGTTGTTGTTGTTGTTGAACATTATTACTTCTAAAGAATAATTATTGTTGGGACCCCTGGTGCACGACCCCCCCGCCGCGCCTAGGCCGCAGCCTCATTTTCATCATTTTCGTGAGGAAGTCTCAGGCAAAACGGGGGAGTCCGGATCCGGTTGTGTTGTTACGATCGGTTTTCCCTTGCAAAAAATAAGCTAAAGTGGACATTTCTTGTTCTAACATAACCAAACTTCAAGAATCCCTTGCAAAAAATAAGGTAAAGTGGACATTCGCGCGCGCAAGACGAAATCCTTCCAAAACCTTAGTGTTCGTAGCGATTTTAACATAAAAACATCAAAAAACCAATGGTTTTTCAACAAAAAATTGTCAAAATCTCATCCCGCGCGCTCTTGCGGATTCGTAGGAAACCCAACACTTTTTAAACATTTCTGTCAAACGGGCTTTTGCGAGCAACTTTTTCGAACTTCTGCAACAACGGTTGCGCACCTGCCAGGGCCATCATCCCTGTCAAATAATACCATGCGGGACACATTCGTTTTTTCTTCGCGCGCGCACGCCGTCGTCGTCGGCCGCGGGGCCCTGAATAGTAGCCACGGTCGTCCGCATGCCACGAAGTGAAGTGTCCGAACGTCATAGGGCGGGAAGCTGGGTGTGGGTGGTGGCGAAGAGTCGTTTGGAAATTTGGTAGAGCTTGAACCGGCCCCCCCACAAAGTGGGGGTATTGCCCGCCTCCTATGAAAACCCTGGCACTGGTGAGAACGGAGTGTCCCCACGTGCTAGTAATTGTTGTTGTTGTTGTTGTTGTTGTTGTGTTGTTGTTGTTGTTGTTGTTGTTGTTGTTGTTGTTGTTGTTGTTGTTGTTGTGTTGTCGTCGTCCCACCCGCAACCCGCCCCGCGACCCACCCGCGACCCACCCCGCGACCCACCCCGCGACCCACCCGCGACCCACCCGCGACCCACCCGCGACCCACCCCGCGACCCACCCCGCGACCCACCCGCGACCCACCCGCGACCCACCCCGCGACCCACCCGCGACCCACCCGCGACCCCCCCGCGGCCCACCCCGCGACCCACCCGCGACCCACCCGCGACCCACCCGCGACCCACCCGCGACCCACCCGCGACCTACCGCGCGACCCACCCGCGACCCACCTTCGACCCAAACCACGTTCAAGGTACAAACCACAATTTTCGGCGCCTGCGGCGGGCTTTTTTGCATTCCTTCCAAGTGGGGAGCCCGCGACACATCCCGTGACCAACTCGCGACCAACTCGCGACCAACCCGCGACCCAAACCACGTTCAGGGTACAAACCACATTTTTCGGCGCCTGCGGCGGTCATATTTTGCATTCGTTTCAGGTGGAGAGCCCGCGGCCCACCCGCGACCACGTTCAGGGTACAAACCACATTTTCGGCGCCTGCGGCGGGCATCCTTTGCAGTCGTTCCCTGTGGAGAACCCGCGGCCCACCCGCGACCCAAACCTCGTTCCGTGTACGAACCAATTCTTTAGGCGCTTGCGGCGTGCTGCTTTTGCATTCCTTCCAGGTGGAGGTGGAGAGCCCGCGACCCACCCGCGACCTAAACCACGTTCACTGAACAAACCAATGCCGCACAAGCGCGGCGGCGGATTCTTGCATGCCGTCTGAGCCCGCAAGGACCTCTTCACGCCCCGCACATCCACGCCAGCCCGTCCAGCAACTTTGCCCTGGCGAGTTGCCTTGATCAGAGAAGGCGGGGAGCATAAAGTGGAAAAAAGGATTGCGTTGCAGTTATCTTGGGAAAGGAGGGGGAGGCAGGATGAGTAAACAGGGGACGAGGAGAACGTGGAAGAAGAGAGGATGTAAGGAGAACGTGGAGAAAGAAAAGGAGGAGGAGCAGGAGGACGAGGGGGAGGAGGGGGAGGAGGGGGAGGAGGAGGACGAGGAGGGGGAGGATGGGGAGGATGATGATGATGGACGATAATGGGAGGACGATGAAGGAGGCCGATGAGGGGGAGGACGACAATGGGAGGACCATGATGAAAAGACGAGGGGGGGAGAGGGAGGACGAGGAAGAAGAGGAGGGAGGAGGATGACGATGACGATGAGGACGAGGAAGAGGAGGAGGAGAAGGAGGAGGAAGAGGAGGAGAAGGAGGAGGAGGAGGTGGAGGAGAGCGCCATCGACAAGGAAGGTGGGGGCCACGAGGTCCGCCGGCTCGACGACGCCCGCGTCGCCCGCGCCCGCCCCCTCACTCTTATCCGCAATTGCGGGGTGCTACGTATTCTTCTTACTATTTGTGACCTTTCCTTGCGTAGAGGGACACGCCCGACTTAAGAGTCGAGTTGGAGTGCCCCCAGGGGGGCATCACCGCGCGGTCCGTCACCGCACGGCCCCGGGGGGGCCTTGGACGCCTCGGTCGCCCGAGACCGCATCGGAGAGCGACCCGAGCGCGTGCCAGGCGGGCCCAGGCAGGATGGCGTCGTGAGCACAGCCGCTCCAGGCCTCCCAGATGGGGTCGGAGGAACCAACACACCCTGCGGAAAAGCATACACACTGTGGAAACAACACACCCTGCGGAAACAACACGATGGAAAAGCACACACACATACACTTTGGAAAAGCACACGCGCACACACCTTGGAAAAAAACAACACAATGTGGAACACACACACATACAAACACACACACATACTGCTGACAAAACAAGCACACTGTGGAAAACATAGATGGGGTCGGAGGATCGCGCCGCATCGCCGATGCATCGGCGATGCATCGGCGATGCCGCTCGATGTGGGGCCCGATTTTCTCCACGCCGACGTGGCCGATGCATCGCCGACGTATCGATGCATCGGCGATGCGGCTCGATGTGGGGCCCGATTTTCTCCACGCCGACGTGGCCGATGCATCGCCGACGTATCGGCGATGCGGTGAGCTCCGTCGACACCTTCACTTCGGACCCCATCTTGGAGGCCTTTAGTCACGGTGGACAGTTTATTCATATTTTCGGACTGGGGGCCCTCGCCAGGCCCTGGGACCGCCAAGAGCAGCTCAGCATGAAAGACTGGCCCTCGGGCAAGGGTCGGGACGTCGCGGGGTCGTATTGAGAAATCAGTACGTCGCATGTCTGGGGAGTTAGCAGCGCGGGTGGTTGGTGTTACCATGGTCGAGTTTTTGTTGAACACAGGGGCCAAGCATGATGTCACGTGCAATGCGGTCTGGTCTTCCGTGGGGGCCGGCTTCCACAAGCTGCAGGCGTTGGCCGTCGAGCTGCGAGGCCGGGAGTCGTGAGGTCGGGAGAGGCAGCAGCGTCGAACTGAAACACCGAAGCGGTTCGCTTGGGAGGGGTGCGAGAAGGACAGGAGACACCATCGGCGTCACCCCAACATACTTTTACAATATGTGCGTCGCCCCCCAGGGGCGACGCGCGCACCGATAGATCTCACAGTATATGCGTCGTGGCGGGCGCTTTCTGGCCGCACCGCCTGGGAAAGGATATACTAACTACAAGATGGGTATACTATATGGTCGGCTCGGACGCGCGCTTCCAAGGAGGACATATAGTACTAGTATGCCTCTGTGCGTCCCACACCAGGGCATCGCAAAAACCAGGGCTCCGGAAAACTCGGGGGCCTCTGGGGGGTTCTTGGGACCATCTTTGGGAGAAGGCTCGAAATATCAGTTCTTATTTCCCCTCTTGGGCTCTCTTGGGACCTTCTTGGGGTTCTCTTGGGCCTTCTTAGGGGCCCCTAGGGCCGTGTCAGGGCTCTCTAGGGCCGTCTTGGGGTCATCTTGGGGGCCTCATCGGCCGTCTTGGGACGATCTAGGGGGCCCCTTGGCCGTCTTGGATGCTGTCAAAACAGAAAGGGTGACTATGCTAAAAGAGAGGCGTTTCCCGAAGAGAATGAAGACGATTGTTGCCCGTTGGGGTCTTCTCGGCGGTCTGGGAGCTACATCGGGTAACAACTAGATGTTACCCGAGGTGAGACATTTACGGGTTGTGAGCCGCCCCATAATGCATTCTATGGGGCACAGCTCTCGAGAAGCTCTGCCCTACAAGTCTTGGCCACTCGGTGACAGCCTCGCAGTGGGCTGCGACTTGCTCTCTGTCTCGCGCCGCCTTCCGGGCGTTCTGAGGGTCGCTGCTGTCCTCATGGCCGCCAACACTCAGAACAGTCCTTTTATAAACTGTGGAGCTGCAGAAGTAGCAGGACCGAGGGGCCGAGGGGAAGGTTGCGAAGGAGGAGGGAGGAAGGGAAGGAAGAGGAGGAGGAGGAAGAGCAGGACGATGACGAGGGGGGAGCTTTTTGTTTGCAAGCTTTCGAGTTGCACGAGCACGCGCTGGAAGGAGGATGGGGGAGGAGGAGGAGGAGGACGGAGGAAGGAGGAAACGTCCGCAGATGTTTTTGTCCTGGCCGCGGCTCCCCAGAGGTCTGGACCTCTTCTCTGGGAGCAGTGCTCCATCCAGGATCCCATTTTGATAGCCTTTGGGCCCCCAGGGCCCGAGAGGGGCCGACACAGGGGAACCACGCCAGGATCGAAACAGTCACAGGAGGAGGAGGGGGAGGAGGAGGAGGAAGAGGAGGAGGAGGAGGAGGAGGGAGGAGGAGGAGGAGGAGGAGGAGGAGGAGGAGCAGGAGCAGGAGCAGGAGCAGGAGCAGGAGCAGGAGCAGAGGGGGGGAGGAGAGCAGGAGCAGTAGCAGGGGAAGCAGGGGAGGGGGGGAGGAGGGAGGAGGAGGAGGAGGAGGAGGAGAGGAGGAGGGAGGAGATCTTGGGTGAACGAGGGCCGATCCTGAAGCGGCGGCGGCCTCCTCCGCGCGTCTCCTCCGCGGCGGCCTCCCCGGCGGCCTCCCCGGCGAGGCAGGAGGGAGGAGGGAGGGGAGGAGGAGGAGGAGGAGGAGGAGGAGGAGGAGGAGGAGGAGGGAGGAGAGGGCGAGGAGGGCGGAGGATGTTGGAGCATGAGGACAAGGGAGGAGGAGGAGGAGGAGGAGGAGGAGGAGGAGAAGGAGGAGGAGGAGGAGGAGGAGGAGGAGCATGAGCATGAGCAAAAGACGAAGTCTTACACATAAGAGACACCCACTGAGCATCTCCAAGTAGATGAGGGATTGGCAGGAGACGTACACGGCCAAAACCGTAGAGATTGACAAAGTTCAGCTGAGGTGAAATCGGTTCGATGCGGTCCTTATTGAATGATGAAACGACTCATCACTGGTCATCGGGCAACCCCCAACAGAGATCGCGTCCTCCACAGACAGCCCCGCAATATCAATTCCCAAAACCGTACCCGCGTACGAAAACGAATTGACCTCTTGACCTCTTCCAAGCCTCTGTGACATCAAACGCATTGACCATACACACACACACATAAGGCCAGAGAGCGACAGTGGACACGGCCGGATGGGGAGAAGGTGCCACAAACTCCCATTGTATACCACGAGCCACCACTCCAGCACAACGCTTGAAATACGCCCCAGGTAGCAGGCGGGTGGGTCAATGCCAGCGGCTGCCCCCATCGACCCTGCACATGGGGCGGATGTCCTCCACTCGCCTGAAATTCGCCCAGACTGCAGGCGGGTGGGTAAATGCCAGCGGCTCCGCCCACTGCTCCTGCTGCCTGGGACGGACCATGAAATCGATGCACAGGAAAGTTTGAAGACTCAGATACAAAAGGGCCCAGTCTGCACCCTGTCAGCACGAAAGCGACGTGGACGAAGTAAAACAGAAAGTCACACGTGGCCAGCACCGATGAGGAAGTTGCCAAGGAAAAAGTGCCTGCATGAATTTTTCGTGGTGCTGTCTTAGTCTTAGCCGACACATCGAGAACAGCAAGACCCACACCAGCGAATGCTGCAGGATCTCCAGGTTGCCACGAGCACGTCGCGATGAGACGCCGAAAGTGGCTGCATGACCAGTTGGAGCTAAAAAGGGAGGGGGGCCGCCCGGTCGCGCGCCGCTTGTGCTTGAGGAGGAAGAGGAGGAGGAGGAGGAGGAGGAGGAGGAGGAGGAGGAGGAGGAGGAGGAGGAGGAGGACGAGGAGGAGGAGGAGGAGGAGGAGGAGGACGAGGGGTCGATCGAGGATCCTGGCCCGGCGGCGACCTCCGCGCGCAGCCGCTGCGGCCCTTTTGGCGCGCGGTGGCCGGGCGCGCGCGGAAGGGGGGCCGGCCGTGCGCGCGGGGGCGGCCGCCGCCGGGAGGTCGGGAGGATCGAAATGGGTACGGAGAGACACAACAAGGATTAAGTAGGGCATGTCCCTCTACAGAAGGAGTAGTCAAGAAATAATCGGAAATTCGTGTGGGGACGGCTTTCTGTTAGTTTTGATTTTATTAGGTGTATGTTAAGACGACGCTTCCTTTTTCTTCCAAAATACGCCTTTACGAGGACACGCCCGACCTAGAACAAGGATTCACGCGAAGCATGTTGGTAAAAACGGGTTTTGCAACCCCAGACCCCCTCGCGTCGTGGAAAAATCACGACGGCCCGGGGACAGGGTCCAGAGCTCTGCGGGTCGACGTCGTGAAAAAGTCACGACGTCGGGGGTCTGAGTATGTTGGTCACAACGTGACAACGGGTTTTGCAACCACGCCCAAATCAGCTCTGGAGGCGAGGGAGGAGGCCAAGACGTGGGGAGGAGCGGGAAGGTGGGGGACAGTGCGCGAGGCCGCAGAGGGAGGCGGCAAAGGCCGACAGCAGCTCCTGCGCATCTTGAACGGGACTCGCTGTCCGCGCCGCCGCGGGCGCTGCCCTCGGAAGGCAAAGATTTAGTTGGGCCTGTCCCTCTACAGAAAGAATTGCGCAAACATTGTCAAAACATGGTCTGGGGAAGATGTTTTGCATATGTTTGAGCATTTTCTGCTTTTGGGTGATTATTTTTTCGTCCAAAATCAGCATGTAGGAGGACACGCCCGGCCTAAGACAAAGAGCTGCCTGCCCAACGGCGGCCGCTGTGGGTCTTCGACCACACGTGTGGTCGGGCATTGTGCCCAGTTTTGCCGTACTCGCTGCCCGCGCCGCCGCGGACGGCTGTCCATGGAAGGCAAAGAGCTACCTGCCCAGCAGCGGCCGCTGTGGGTTTTGGACAACATTTGTGGTCGGGCACTGTGCCCATGTTTGCCGTACCCACTTCGGGCGTCCAGAGGGCAGGAGGCTCACAGCGGTCGTGGCAGACCCCTGCCAGACAGAAGAGTGCACGCCGGTCGTTGGAAGCAGGTACCCCAGAGATCCGACGCTCAGAGACCATGGGAGCGGCGGGTTTGGGCCATTTTCGGCTCCAGGGGCCCCCACTGGGCCTTGGGAGCGTCAAACAGCGACTCGGGACGAAAAACCGGCCCTGGGGAAGTGGTCCAGACCTTCGGGGCCCACGCATCGAAATAATTGGAGCAGCCGGATGTCTGGGATTTCTGGATTCCCAGATCCCAATTTGATTGAGGCGCCTTCCTATTTCAAGAGTCGAGCGGTTTTCCCTCTTCCCTCCTCTTCAGGGGGCGGGCGGAGACCCAACCTACTTTCAACGCCTTCCTACTTGATGTTTCTACCGGCATCGGGTTGGGAGGATGAGGTTGGGAGGCGGGATCATATCATCAAGATTGCCGCGCATGTTGAAGTTGCTTATTACACAGCCGTTCCCTGTATCTTCCCAACCCCTTCCTCCCAGCATGATCATTTCCTTTCTCACCCTGAGATCCTGGCGTCTCGAAGTGTGGCCCTCGTAGTGGTGAAAGAGCCGTCGAAAGCATTTGAATGTGGCACCCCGCAGTTGTGGATGCGAGTGCGGGGCCGGGCGCGAGTTGGGTCGCGGGGTGGGTCTCGGGTGGGCCGTGGGTGGGTCGCGGGGCGGGTCGCGGTTGGGTCGCGGGGCAGGTCGCGGGTGGCCGACCTCTGACACCTTGGCGTCTCAAGTTTGAGCCAGCCGCCGCTCAGTAACCGCTTACATACGCCGTCACTCGCATGACAGCTTGTCCACGTCGCAGTAGCTTGCTGGCTTCACGACCGAGTCGCCGAACTTGTCATCGTGAAAGAAGAGATATCTTGGCGTCTCAAAGATTTACCTGCCTTGATACGTCCGTTCTGAAACGCAACACGTACCCTGTTAAAAACGTCTGTGTCAACACTGCGTGTTGGTTCAGCATGTGCTGGTCCACGTGTGGGCGAACGTATCGCGCCAAGCGCACGTGTTGAGTCTCCGTGACAACACGCCACGTGCTGCGTGTTGCGTATCGGTGCAGCTGATATCTAGGCGAATCAACATGCTGTTCAACTAGTTGTATCACGTTGGAAAAAAGGAGCCAGGCTGTCGCTTCAAGGCCGGCCTCATTTTTGGTCCAGACGGCCACGCTCCCATGTCACAAATCCACTGAGGTGCGCATGGCCATGCTCTCGCCCTTGTCCCGCCTGTCAGCGTTCCAAGGAATCCCTAGCAATATGTTCAGGAATGCAGGAATGCATGTTTTTACTCGACGACCTTCTACTCCTCGACCCGCCTTTTCACCTTGCGTATTCCTAGGGTGCTCTACTGGGGTAGGTTCGAGTCGCTTTCGCCCAGTTTCGGGGCCCCAGACCCTCCCGTATCGATCCAGCGAGAAAAAAACGGCTCAGAAAGAGGGGTTCCAGGGCTTTAGTCCCAGGGGCGACGCGCGCACCGAGAAATCGTAAGTATATACGTCGTGGCCGGCGTTTTCTGGCCACGCCTCTCGGGTAACGATATACTACAAGATGGGTATACTATATGTTCGGGTCGGACGCGCGCCTCAAAGGAGGACACATAGTATTACTATGTCTCTGTGCGTCCCATGCCATTTCTCGCAACGTCGGTTCTCAGGGAGAAGGGGGGGCGTCTTTATGTGGGCCGGCGCGGATCCTCCTCCTCCTCCTCCTCCTCTTCCTCCTCGTCCTCCTCCTCATCCTTCTCCTCCTCCTCCTCCGCCTCCTCCTCCTCCTCTCACGTGGTCTCCCCCGCCCCCCTCCCTCCCTCTCCTGCTCCCCCCTCCTCTCATCTTCTCTGCCGTACCTCCACCTTACACGTAGCCCAATACAACAGTCAACCACTTCCACGCCTCCCTCCCCTCCTCTCCCCTGCCTCCCCTGTTTTTTTCTCCTCTATCCTCCCCTCCTCCTCTCCTCCCATCTCCTTTATTCGCCCCCCCCCCCCGTCCTCTCCCTCTCCCCCACCCCCCCTTTTTCCCCTCCCTCCGCCGCAACCCCCATCCCCCCCTCCTGTTCAACGAGTCCCCAAAACACAGCGCCCGGCGCGCGGTGGAGCCGCGGCCGCTGGAGCCTCCCGTGGGAGAGCTAGGCGGGCACCGAGCGAGCCTCCCGACGCCCCCCGCAGCCTGTCCTCTCCCCGCTGCGCTCGTATCCGCACCTCCTGTGCACCCTGTCTCTCCCTCCCATCCGTCCTTGCTCCCCTCCCCCTCGCTCGCCTCTGCAACCTTCCCTGCCGTCCACTCCTCGCAGCTACCTTCGACGCCCTCCACAGGCAGGACGAGGAGGAGGAGGAGGAGGAGGAGACAGAGGAGGAGGAGGAGGAGGAGGAGGAGGAGGAGGAGGAGGAGGAGGAGATTGGCTCGTGAATGGGGGGCGGGGTCATAGCCAAGACACGCCGCGGCCTTTCAAGGAGGAGGGGGAGGAGGAGGAGGAGGAGGAGGAGGAGGAGGAACAGCTGAGGGAGGAGTCAAAGTAAGACGAATCGTAGTACAACAGTAGTAGTAATCATGTAGCAGTAAGCAGAATGAAACTATGAATATCAGTCTTACTACGAGTAATAGTATTGCGAATGTTACGAAGCAACTTTATATTATGAATATCAAAAATGGCAACTTTAATGTCATAATAATAATAATAATACGACGAATCATAATAATCATGGCAACACGGCTCCTAGTATTGATAGTCTTGGTAACACGACGAGTCGCACAAATATGTTTACGACCACTAATCGGACTACTACTACTACTACTACTACTACTACTACTACTACTACTACTACTACTACTACTACTACTACGACGACTAGTACTACTACTACTACTACTACTACTACTACTACTACTACTACTACTACTACTACTACTTCTACTACTACTACAACTACGACTACTACTACTACGACTACGACTACTACTATTAATACTACTACTACTACTACTACTACTACTACTACTACTACTACTATTGCTACTACTACTACTACTGCTGCTGCTGCTGCTACTACTACTATTAACAATACTAGGGCCATGATTATTATCATTACTACTACTACTACTACGACTACTACGACTACGACTACGACTACGACTACGACTACGACTACGACTATTACTACTACTACTACTACTACTACTACTACTACTACTACTACTACTACTACTACTACTACTACCACGACTACTACCACGACTACTAGCATAGCTACATTAACGAACACAAGGACATACATGCTGATGAGACTCGTACTGCTGGTAATCGTATTAGTAACACCTAGTCACACATAAGGAACACATTATCACACAGACAATAAACGAATAACATGCTCATAATAAGAAGGAACGTATTAATACGAAGCAATCAATGATGGAAGAGATATGACTTGAAGGTGGAGGAGAAGGACCCCGATGGGGCAGCAGGTGGAGGGAATGAGAAAGTGAGCGAGAGAAAGAGAGAGAAAGAGAGAGAGAGGACAGAAGAGATGAGGAGAAGAAAGAGGAGGAACAGGGGGAGGAGGAGGAGGAGGAGGAGGAGGAGAAGGAGGCGGAGGAGGCAGAGGCAGAGGAGGAGGAGGAATGGGAAGAGGAAGAGGAAGAGGAAGAGGAAGAGGAAGAGGAGGAGGAGAGGGAGGAGCAGGAGGAAGAGGAGGAGGAGGAGGAGGAGGAGGAGGGCTCGGTCCTCGGGCGGAGGGCTCGGTCCGGGCCCGCCCCAGCGACAGCTGGCGAGCGGCGCTCCCTTTGATGCGTTAGCGGCCCGCTCTGGGCAACGCACGGTGGGCGCCGCAGGCGCGCGGCCACGAGTCGGCCGGCGGAGGGGGAGGTTAGGGGGGAAAGGATCAGGAGGAGGAGGAGGAGGAGGAGGAGCAGGGGGAGGAGGATAACGACGACGTGGAGGAGAAGGAGGAGGATGAGGAGATTGGCCCATGAGTGGGGGGCGGGGTTATGGCCAAGACACACCGCGGCCTTTCAAGGAGGAGGAGGAGGAGAAGGAGGAACACAGTAATCCATATATTATTAATAGTACTACGAATACTAATAATACGACTGGCACTTGTATAACAGAAAAGCAATAATAGCATGATGCGTGAAACCATAAAAAAAACAAGCATCGTGCGAATAATACGGTCACAAGTAATCATATGTAGAATTATGATAATAGGAATGATACGAATACTGTTACGAATAATAGCACTACGAGGAAACACAAATCTGAGTAATGGTCGTAGTAGTAATACGAATAATCATGATATTGCTACTACTACTACTACTACTACTACTACTACTACTACTACTACTACTACTAATAGTACTACTACTCGTAATTATATGTTAATCATGATAATACGAATGACAACGTTAATGATAGTCGTAGTAGTAGTAAAAGAAGTAGTGGTAGTAGTAGTAGTAGTAGTAGTAGTAGTAGTAGTAGTAGTAGTAGTAGTAGTAGTGGTAGTAGTAGTAGTAGTAGGAGTAGTAGTAGTAGCAGTAGTAGTAGTAGTAGTAGTGGTTGTGGCGGTGGTGATGGTGGTGGTAGTAGTAGTAGTAGAAGTCGTAGAAGCAGTAGTAGTAGTCGCCGTCTTCGTAGAATAGCAATCGTCGTAGTAGTAGTCGTCGACGTCGTCGTGGTGGTAGTAGTAGTAGTAGTAGTAGCAATAGTAGTAGTAGTAGTAGTAGTAGTAGTAGTAGTAGTAGTAGTAGTAGTAGTAGTAGTAGTAGTAGTAGTAGTAGTAGTAGTAGTAGTAGTAGTAGTAGTAGTAGTAGTAGTAGTAGTAGTAGTAGTAGTAGTAGTAGTAGTAGTAGTAGTAGTAGTAGTAGTAGTAGTAGTAGTAGAGTAGTAGTAGTAGTAGTAGTAGTAGTAGTAGTAGTAGTAGTAGTAGTAGTAGTAGTAGTAGTAGTAGTAGTAGTAGTCGTAGTAGTAGTAGTAGTAGTAGTGGTAGTAGTGGTAGTAGTAGTAGTAGTAGTCGTAGTGTTGTTGGTAGTAGTAGTAGTAGTAGTAGTAGTAGTAGTAGTAGTAGTAGTAGTAGTAGTAGTAGTAGTAGTAGTAGTAGTAGTAGTCGTAGTAGTAGTAGTTGTAGTCAGTAGTTGTAGTAGTAGTAGTGGTAATAGTCGTCGTCGTAGTCGTCGTAGTCGTAGTCGTAGTCGTAGTCGTAGTAGTAGTAGTAGTAGTAGTAGTAGTAGTAGTAGTAGTAGTAGTAGTAGTAGTAGTAGTAGTAGTAGTAGTAGAGTAGTAGTAGTAGTAGTAGTAGTCGTAGTCGTAGTAGTAGTAGTAGTAGTAGTAGTAGTAGTAGTAGTAGTAGTAGTAGTAGTAGTAGTAGTAGTAGTAGTAGTAGTAGTAGTAGTAGTCGTAGTAGTAGTAGTAGTAGTAGCAGCAGCAGCAGCAGCAGCAGTAGTAATCGTACTTGCACTTGTACTAACAACAATAATTCTGATAATAATAGTAACAATGCCAACGCAGGTATCAACAGTAATTATAATTTTTCATGTGATGGTGGATAATACAGGATGAGAAGGTGGGGAGGAGGAGCCCCATAGGGCAGCAGGTGGAAGGGGAAGTGAGAGTGAGGGAGAGAGGAGAGACGAGCTGAGGAGGAGGAAGAGGAGGAGGAGGAGGAGCAGGAGGAGGAGGAGGAGGAGGAGGAGGAACAGGAGCTGGAGGGGAGGAGGAGGGAGGAGGAGGAGA